AAGACAGCTGATGATAATTCCGGAGGAAGTTGGCATTAAATCGAAGCAAAAGGGAAGGGGGTTAGACATTCAGAAGTATCCTGGCTTCCTGGGTGGAGGAGTACCCCAAAATTAGTTCACAGACTTAGCAACAGTACTAGCTTTCATTTATTAAGCTCCTACAATGGGCCAGGTACTCGGCTGAGCATTTTGTCTTCTTTATCTTACTTAGATTTAAAAAAAAAAAACAATCTAGTGAGTTAGATATTCTTTTCCTCTCTCTACAGAGGAAGAAACGTGGGCTCAGCAGTGGTCACACCTCAGTTAGTGGCACACCCCCACATGGCAGACACCCAGCAGGGCGGCTCACCTAACCAGGACCACAGCACAGTCCATGCAGGGAGCGTGCGGGGTGGCTGAAACACACCCGAGACAGACACTTTAAATGCTACTTCTCTACTGGTCGTTCTGGAAGATGTCTCCTCCCCACCCCCTACTCCAGCCTGGGCAGAAAAAATAAACAAAAACCCCCACCTTGATTCAAACTCTCGTTTTCCATAGCATAAACCATTCAAACACTACTGTGTACTTTCCTGCAAGAAATGCAGACGGGGGCAGAGCGTTTCCGAGTTCCAAACCTCAGCTTGGTGGGAACCTGCAGCAGAGCCCTGAGAAGGGGGAAGATTCAGATAACACACGACTGTGGGCAGGGAAGCCCACCAGCTTCTTCCTGCAAGAGCAGATTTCGGCCAGCTGAATCCACAGTTAGCAGACAATACGTGGATTGTGCTGACATCCGACCACTCAGAACTAAACTCCATGCTGCGCTCGTGAATCTATTAGATGAAAACGCCTCAATTTAGATAACTGCGAATTGCTTTCTGAGCATAATTTCCTATTAGTTCATTAATCTCTCTATTCAGAACGCCAACAAGACAGCTGATGATAATTCCGGAGGAAGTTGGCATTAAATCGAAGCAAAAGGGAAGGGGGTTAGACATTCAGAAGTATCCTGGCTTCCTGGGTGGAGGGGTACCCCAAAATTAGTTCACAGACTTAGCAACAGTACTAGCTTTCATTTATTAAGCTCCTACAATGGGCCAGGTACTCGGCTGAGCATTTTGTCTTCTTTATCTTACTTAGATTTAAAAAAAAAAAACAATCTAGTGAGTTAGATATTCTTTTCCTCTCTCTACAGAGGAAGAAACGTGGGCTCAGCAGTGGTCACACCTCAGTTAGTGGCACAGCCAGGATTCCAGTATAGATGTGTGTATGACCTACAGCCTGAGCTCCCAATCAAGCCTTATTTTTCTGACTCATCACACAAATGTTTACAGGATGAAGGGATTACACAGACAGTGATGCAAGACTCATGAGTGAGGCTAAGGTTGGGGGGTGGGGGTGGTAAGCGTAACAGCAAAAAAGCCTGAAAAATAATCAGCAAAGACTGAGCACCTTGTGAAAGAAAAATCTCATGTGCTGAAATGTCAGGCTGGAAAACAGTTTGATTTTGTCAAACTACTACTTTCATAAGAGCAGTGGTCCCCCAAATGTGGTCTGAGGACCAGTGGCATGAGTGTCACTGGGAACTTGTGAGAAATGCAGTTCTGGGGCCCCATCCCAGACCTGGTGAATCAGGGGCTCGGGGTGGGCCCAGGAAGCTGTGTTTTAACAAAACCTCCAGGGCATTCCAACGCACAGTCCATTTTTTGAGACCCATGATCTAGAAAGAAAATCAGCTCTGCAAGGGAATTTGGAGATCACTTAGAGTTGTGCTTCTCAAACTTTCATGCACAAGGATCCCCGGGACAACCTTAAAATCCGATTCTGATGGAACAGGTCTGGGGAGGGGCCTGAGAGTCTGCATTTCTAACCAGCTCCCTCTTGGGTGATGCTAATGCTGCTGGTCCAGGGACCCTGCATGGTGTAGTGTGGGTCAAATCCAATCCTTGTCAGCCAGGGAGCTGCCGGCACTAACCGATGTGGGATTGCTCTAGACATAAAAAAAAAAAGTCATTGCCTTCAGGATGGATTCAAATCCAAGTCTCTGGGATGCTTTAGAAGAACAGGAAATGACTGCGTCAGGCACTGTTTTTCCAACGTTCCCACTCAGATGTTCCCTGAGCACTTTAAAATTGCTGCCCTTTCCCCTGCCCTTCCTATCTCCACTATCTGCTTTGTTCTTCTCTTTAGCACTTAGCATCATCTGAGCAGGTAACCTCTTTTACTAATTTACATTGTTTCCTATCTGTTTCTCCCTGCTTGCTAGCATATAAGTTCCAAGAAGGCAGAGGTTTGGTCTGTTTTATTCACTGCTATTACTCCTGTACCTAGAACACTGCCTGGCACAGAGCAGATGTCCAATAAACAGTTGTGTAAATGAATAAATGGTGCCACCCATTTTTCCTAAGAACCTACCTCCCCTTCTTGGTGCCATCTCTCTGAAATGTCACCTGTTGCTGCTCTTTACACATGTACTTGAGTTGCACTGAAATAACTTCTCTATTGGTGTATCTTCCGCTAAATTCCTGACGGTGAGGTCTGTGTGTTGCCCATTTCTGACTCTCATCCCACCCTTCCATCAGCTCACAAAAATTTTGCCAATCTTTGAAAACATGTATAAACGACCATCCATCCTCACTACAATTAATTTAAAAACTGCAGGATTTGATTCATGCAAGAGTTAAGTTCAAACTTCAGCCGGTGACATCGGTAATGCATGCTCATAATTATGTGCTGGAGATACCTCTAAACTCTGTTGCAGTTACGCAAGTACAATGACAAAATTCCTGAAGCAAGCCGGAACTTCATAGCAACTACAGACTGCTCTCACCGTTCTAGCAGTTTTCTGAGGGCTGAGCAAATTGGTAGGCTCGATGGGACAATTCAACCACGGCTTGGTTTGAATTCTGCCTCTTACATAGCAGAAGCCACTTTTGCACAAAATAGATGAGAAGGTAGATGTTCTTCGATAAAACATGATCATCCAGAACAAGGGCATTTCAAGGACTCCTTCCAACAGCCCTGTGGTAGGCTCTAGTAACATGCCCACTTTGCAGATGAGGAAACTGAGCCTTGAGATGACAAGTCTCTTGCCAGAGCTCATACAGGGAGTTCAGCAATGGAGCTGCGACTCAAAACTCAGTTTCTGGCTGCTTCCAGAGTCTATGCTTCCTGAAGCTGCCCCTCCCCCCAAGGCCCCATTCCTCCTCCAGCCTCCTCCCCCAACCCTGGGCAGGCCCTGGGCCTTTGCTCTTGACTTCTAGAACAGAGCAGGAGCAAAGACTGCCTCAGAGTTCCACCACTAGTGCTGAAAATTGGAACAGCTCAGTAAGTGCTCAGCCTCAGGGACTCCAGGCTGCAAGCCTGTCACCTAATTACCTGACTTCAAAGCCTCCACTCAGCAGGTGTGAGGATGTGGAAGCTGCCAGTTTCCCCTGTTTCCCCTCAGAACGAGGTGTGGCTGCACACAGAGAGGACAGGCCCCCAGAGCAGATGGGGTAAGGGGGAAAAACAGACCCCAGGGCCTGGCCTCATGCCTCTCTGAGTCAGAAAGACTAGAGGCCTCCATCCTGGGGGCTCACCTGACAGCCTGGCCTCCAAACCCTAATGCTTGGTAATTACTGCTGCACCCGGCTCCCCTTCTGCCATGACGCCTAGGGCTCCGTAGGGGTGGAACTAATTAGTGCCCCCACCCAACTCCAGGAGGGAAGGAACCTGGTCCTACTTCATTACCCACAGTGCAGGGATGTGGGCTGGCCTGAAGAAGCCCGAATGAGAGCGCCCAGCCTGAGCTGGACACGGAAGAGCAAGGCTAGAGGGCACAGAAAGATTCCTACAGTCTTTGAAACTAAATGGCTCCTATAAGCAAACAGATGCACATTGATTTGTAACTCTTAGATACAGTTGACTATTTTACAGTCATTGGACCAGAGCAGGTATTTCATGCATATTTATGCAAGGAGAGCAGGGGGCCATGCAGAAAGGCATCTGTGACCTTTGACAGAGGACAGAAGCCTGAGTCTGGCACCGTGCTCTGGCCTTTGGTGTTGACTGACTGAATGCTCACTCTACTGCCTGCAAGAAGGTTAAGCCTTTCATGCAGATGAAGACGCTAGGCACGGAAATGTGAGGTGACTTGCTCAAGGTCACATGGCCAGAAAGTAACCGAGCCAAGATTTGAACCCACCTTTGCCTGACTCCGGAGCCCATGTTGGGCATCATAGTGACCCTCAAACCTCCCAGCCTTCTGCCAGCCATGCCCTGTGGTGGACACATGTGCCTGTGGGAGACAGACATCTGTAGGTTCTGGCCTTCTCACCAGAACTCCAGACCAACATGATGCCACAGGACTTAGGGGGTCAGGGTTCATGCCCTGACTGCCGCTTCCTAGCTGTGTGACCTCAGTAGGTGACTATCCTGGCTAAGGCTCAGTTTTTGCATATGTAAAATGGGGAGAATCCTAACACTCCTTCAGAAGACAACGAAGAAAGGAGAAAGGGACTTTGCACACTGTAACTCAGGGATTAGGAAACTGCAGCTGAGGGGCCAAAGTCAGCCCATGGCATAGTTGTCAATAAAGCTTTATTGGAATAAATTAATGTGTCATGCCCATTTGTTTGTATATTGTCTATGGCTGCTTTGGAGGTACACAGCAGAGTCGTGTGGTTGTAACAGAGACCCTGTGGCCTGCAAACACTGAAATATTTGCTATCCGGTTGACCAGAGGTAAAATTTGCCAGCCCTGATCTTAGATGCCATGAAATGCAAGGTGACACTGCTTTGGCAGATAACATCGCGCATGTCCAGTACTGTCCATTGGCCCTGGTTCCTACCCAGAATTGCTCTTCTTGACCCCTTATCAGAAGGCAGAGGTTAATGTAAGACACATTTCTGAAAAATGGAGCGAACACCTCTCCTGAGAGTCCAGAAACCCCACTCCCATCAGCTGTCGCAGAGCCCAGGTGGCTCTAACTGACATCAAATGCTGTGAAAAGACATGTCCAGGGACAGCCACTTACTTGCAGTTTTTACACTTGAGGCCAAAAAGCATTCCTTTCCCACAGACTGTGCATGTTTGAGACATCCAGTACTTGGTGGAAAACCTGTGGAAAGAGACAGAAAATGTTCAAAGGCAGTGTCTTGAACTTGAAATGTTCAAGGGAAGGTGACTGACCTATCTCTCCCAGGATGAACCACTGAGAGGATAAGCACATGAGCCCTGGATTCCAGTCCTGCTTCTCTGAGATCTGTGACTTAATCAAGTCACTTAAACCACCAGAGCCTTAGTCTCCCCATCTTTAAAGTGGGGATTATTAACAGAGTCAACTTTACAGGGTGTTGGGAGGATTAAACGAGGTCATGCACGTCAAGGGCTTCACATGGTGTCCGACACATAGTAAGCGCTCCCTGAACTGGGTTGCGACTGTATTATTACCTGAACATTCATGACAGTCATTCATTTGTTCAACCAACATATGACAAGTTCTGTTCTAGGACAATGCGATGGATGGAGCTGGAGCTGTGCCCAGAGAACCACAAAGCAAGTGGGGGCCTCCCAGGAATCCAGCTGAGCCATTCCCCAACACCGTTTGTCATGTCACCTGGGGAGCTTAAAAGAGGACCTGTCCCCAAAAAGCTGAGACTGTGAACTTCAGTAGCAGAGGAAGTCCCTTAGAGTGAAAGTCTTTCAGACCATCAGCTCATCTCCCTCCCATCCACCACCACTTGCTGCAAACACAAGTGAGTTTGGAGGCCTCCAATGGGCAGCTATCAGCCAGCTGGAACAGAGGGGCATTAGATTAACTTCCTGGGCCCCCCTTATCTGCCAGGGTGCTTCTTCCCCATGAGATACCAAGCAGCAGCAGGGCTGGGCCCAGAAGAAAAGTATTGAAGATTGCCAGGTCAGAGTTAATTTTCATTTTCAATTTTTGTCACTTTCAGCAGGAGTTGTATCTAATCTCTACTGCCTTGGAGTGTCAAAATGAAAATCCTAAGTGATTATGTAACTTGGTGCTTGAGCATTTTGAGGGCAAGGTTGCATCCCTCTGCTGCACCATCTTGCCTGATTTGGGTCAGTCACTCTCCAAACAGAATGAGCTATGGCCCAAAGCCTCCATACTAAGCAAACAGCAATATTCTGAACAGAGGCTCTTACAGCTAAGAAGACTCCCTCTGCAGTTTTGGACTGGGGGTTGGTGAAGCCCCTTTCTTCCCTTTCCACGGGCCAGCGAGTCTGGCAGGGTCTACTTTGCAAGGTTTGGCAGCTGTAGGCATGGTGAACCAGCCCGCATGCACGCAGAACAGCGAGCAGGCAGGGTGAGCCCCCTGGGTGGGCCTTTCCTTTCCAGCCCTCCCCAGTCCTGGGGTCAGCTCAACCTCGTCCCGAGCTCTGGCTCAGATGACTCTAAGGACAGGATGGGATTTTTAATTTCACTTCCTCACCAGGACTAGGATGATGAGTTTGGGTTTCTCCTTCCTGGCCTGGAGACTGGGCAGAAACACAGGGTGAGACTGAGAGTAACAGGGCGTCCCAGTCCCAGCTCCTCTAAGGTGTTCCTGATGCCCAAGACCATCAGGTCCTTTCCCGTCTCTGGGCACCAGCATTTTAATCTGAAGGTATCACCAAGCCTAACGTTAAGGTGAAGAGTCTGGGCACACAGTTGAGCCCAAGGCCAAGGCGGCTAGGGGGTGGGGCTGAGCCAGGGGCGGGGCCTATCCTGGGACAGAGCTGGGCCAGGGGCTGGGGCCAACCAGGAGCCACGCTGGGCCAGGGACAGAGCTGGGCCGGCGGCGGCGGGAAGCTAACAACAAGAGGCCCTTCTTTTCTGACGCCTTTCTGCATCTGACTGCCTTGACCACTGACGTGTCTATCACGTGTTTCACACTGCTTCCTCCACCGTTTTCTCGTTTGAGTTTTAACAACTGCACTGTCAACATATTTCTTTCCAACACCGTTGACGAGATGCCATTCCGAGAGTGCTCGCTCCCACCTCGCCCCCAGCTATGGGGAAGTGTCTGCCCCTGGTATTGCCCCCCCTTACAGCCCTGATCCCTCTGTTCTGTCATGGTCTCTTGTTAACCATCTAACCCTCCACTAGACCGCGAGCTCCCCAAGGACGCAGGCCTTACATCTTGCTCAGCGGTGCAAAATGCTCACACAGAAATTCCCTACAAATTCCAGTGGAAAGGATGCATCGAATGAGTGAACAAATCAGTGAGTTCAGAGGCCTCGAAGCAAGCAAAGAAAACTCTCCATAGCGGAGGCCAAAAAGCACCAAATGCTGAGGTCGATTGGCTTATACTCCCTTCACTTAATTAGCCAGGGCCTTAGTTTCTCTGTCAATTGGACATGACCACACTTGCACTACTTACCCCAGAGTTTGTGAGACTGAGAATAATGAGATAAAATGTGTAAACTGGAACCTGGAAAGTTAAAGAATTCTTGTAAGAGATGACTAGGAGATACAAATCCCCTCCTGAGAGCAGGTGCTCCGTTGGGAAAGTTGTTCTGTGCAGAGCTCTGGACTGACCTATCAGCAGGCAGTGAGCCTCTCTGAGTTCAGCCTGCAATCTGTGTCTTCTGTGGGGGTGGCCCAAAATTAGGATGTAAAGCATTTCTCTTGACAACGATACCATTTACGGAGTTATAGTATGTGCCAGGCCCTTTGCTTAGCACTTTACAAATACTACCTTATTTAATCCTCATGCCCATACTGTGCGTAGGCAGAATCACCTGAGAAAATTAAGCCTCAGCGAGGTTAAGTAAGTTCTCTCAAGGCTGCAAAGCTTTACCAGCTGAGACTGAAACACAGGTCGGTCTGACTCCAAAGCCCTGGCTTTTAGCAATTATGTGCTAATTTTATAAGGTCAGGCTAATAAGAAGCAGACATGGCAGTCCCCAGCTACCACATCCCAGTTTAGCCCAGCAGAGAGAGGGGCATGGTGACATCAGAGCTGGAGCAAAACAGGTCCTCAGCTGTCCCCCGCCCTGGTGGCCAGAGTGCCCAGCCCTTGCTGGGACGGGAGGTAGGCCCCCCGCACACAGGACCCAGCCTACCTGTGCTTGATGGAGTTGCCGAGGTCTCTGCGAGGGATCTGTGGGGACCAGCGCGGCACTGACAGTGTGTCTGCAAGAAAAGAAGAGGAGAAGGGCCTGTTACACAGAGGGTCAGCGGCTGCAGTGGGCTCCTGCCAAGCCCCAGGAGGAAGAGGGAGGCTCGCTGGCCTCAGGAAGGACACTGACCACCGTCGCCAGGCTTAAGCAGCATTCTGCTTTGCTGTGTTACCCTGACTCATGAGGTTCCCTGGGCAGGGCAGCCAACGGAGTGTCTGGAAGAAACCAGCTGCAGAAAGAATATAACTGAACCCTGCTTCCATTTACAGAGTACTCAGTGTGTGCCAGGCATGTGCTAAGTGACTCACATGCCTTCACTCATTACATCCTCAAACAACACTGTCAGCTAACAAGGTTGACAGCATCCCCTTACAGATAAGGAAACTGAGGCTTGGAGAGAGGAATCATCTGTGCAAGGTCATACACCTCGGAGGTTGCACAGAAGGCTTGAGGGAATCAAGAAGACGTGCCTCTGCATGCCAAGTTCTAATGCAGTAGATTCCAAATGCCAGTCATGCAAACGCCACTTCCCTTATTTTTGTCATGTGCTGTACAGCCCATAAAATTTTTTATTTATTATTTTAAGCTCTTTTCCTTTTGTTTTTTTAATATACTTATTTTAAAAGCAAACTCTATAAAGAAAACTAGTCAGTTTCTGCATATTATAGGTAATTAACTATTTAAAATATCTCCAACCATGTACCATCTAAACTCATGCTAGAGTAAGAGGATGGACTGATGAGTGGATGGATGAGTGGGTGGATGGATGGGTGAATGAATCGTTGGACAGGTGGGTGGATGGGCAGATGAGGAGGTAGATGAACACACAGGTAGGTAGTTGAATGGGTTGGTAGGTGGATGGATGGAGGGATGGATGGGTGGTAGGTGGGTAGGAATGACTGGTAGGTAGAAGGATGGATGAATGAATGGGAATGAGGAGAAATAAACCACACAGATTTCGGACTGGGTGCCTGTCTCCATCTGGTCTTTCCTTTCATGCCCTAGGCCAAATCCCAGCAACCTCCACTATGGCTCCACCACTGCCTGAGTTCTGGAACTTCTTCCACAGACCCTGAGCACCAGCCTCCACCTTCATTCCACTACCCGACTGCCAGCACCACCACCCTCCCCACAGACCTGGAAGGCCCCACAGAGGCATGAAACACGGCGGAAATGAACTAGTGCTGTTTGCAACGTCTCCTCCAGCTGGGGAGAGAAGAAGCCAGTGGTGACCCACACACTCTCATTTCGTAGGCCAGGTGGGTGGGACCAGCTCCCTGTTTTCAGAGCTGCACCCACCCACTTTGTTTTTCACAGCAATTGTTGTGGAGTGGCATGCTCACCAGGGAGCTGGGCGTGTCTGAACTGACCAAGCAGCATTTAACCCCCCACCCACTCACACTCCTCTCTTCCAACGACACAGTCAGCAGCCATCTGAAAGCTGTTTTCAGAAACCCATTTCTGCCCTTCTAAAGCTAGGGCCCTTTCTAGGAAAGCTAATGATTTTGCAAGCCTCAAAGAGCAGAGAAAACCCAGGAGACAGACAGCAGGATATATCAGTCAGACGCACAGCTAGTGGAATTTCCTCTAGTTTAACTAAAAACTAAATGTCATCAAGCCCAAACCCATTTTACTACGTTTCAGTTTCTGAGGGAACAAGAGAGAAGAAAGAAAAACAATTTAAAAGAGAGAGAAAGAGAAAGAACATTCTTTCCATTCCTATCTCCTCTGGGGACTGAAATCAGATTTGGGAGGAAGATGTGCCCTGCTAACTCCTTAAAATGCCTTGTCCAGTGCCAGGGTTCGGTGCCAGTAGGACCGCTGCCCTGGATAGGAAGGGTTAGCTCAGATCACAGCCTCCTCATGGGGAATCTACAAAACTAGGGGTGCCAAATGGGTCTCATCTCATGGGATATTGGTAGTGGCTGTCTAGAAAGGTGTGTTGAGAAGGATTCTGAAGCTTGATAGGGAAGAGTACTGAGACTGATTAGCAATGTCTGCCATGAGTGAAGAGTAAGGCAGTACCAGCAAGTGTGCATGGATTTGTCACTCCTGCAAGGACAGGGACCACATCTTCATCTTTGCACCACTGCCTCATAGTACAGTGCCTGAGGCAAAGTAAGTACTTAATACTTGTTTGCTGAATCCACAATAATTATCATAGGAACAGTGGGTTTATTGATCACTCAGTATGTGTTAGACATTATGCTGTGCAGTTTATGCATGGAAGCTAGGCCTCCGTGCAGTCAGTGTCCCCATCATTCCCTACAAAGGAAAATAAAGCAGATCACAGAGGGGCAGGGACTTGCTAAAAGTCACACAGCCAGGCTCTAGAAGAACCTCAAGAAGTAACTCTGCAATTGCTCACAAGTCCTCCAAAAGCCCCTACCGGAGTGTTCTCAACCAGAACAATTTTACCCTCCCAGGGGATGTTTGGCAATATCTGGAGATATCTTTGCTTGTCACTCTGGGTGGGGTGGGGGTGGGGAGATGCTACTGGCATTGAGTGGGTAGAGGCCAAGCATGCTACTCAGCACCGTACAGTGTACAGGACAGCCCCCTCCCCATCAATGGAGTAACCAGACCCAAATGTCAGTTGTGCCAAGGGTGTGCCAAGAATCCCTGATCCAAATGTTTCTCTCTTCTCTAGCCTCCTCCCCTCCCAAAACCCCGCAAAAAAACCAAGATGGTACTTCTGAGGCTCAAGTTAGCAGAGAACAAATCCTCTTTTGTAATAAGGACATCTCCCTGTTAGATTCATAGCCTAGTTATTCTGTTATTCTCAATTACAGCACCTTCTCAAAAAAGTAGAAGTAATTAAGTTCAGTAGTTTGGTTTCATTTTCGAATATCTGGTTGAAGGGTGAATTCTGTCAATTACATTAAGCGGCTGCAGCATCATTAGTCTCAAGCAATAATAACCTCCACAAGGCTTCGTACGTGGGTGTAAAGACTTGAACTTTGAGAACCTCTCCATACTTTCTTCGTTTGGATTTCATTAAATTTGCCAACTCAAGCCTTAAAGCAAAGGAAAACTGTTTAAAGGGAAGGGGGTGAAATCTATGAAAATGCAGGCCTTATCATAACAGAGAAGGCAAACAGCATTTACAGCAATTAAACTGATACAGAAACTTCTGTTTAACAATCAAAGCGCCTATTAAGATGTCTCCATAGCTGAACAAAAGCTTCTTTTCTACTCTAATTTTCTGATAACAAGTCAGGCAGACATGGAAGCAGAATTGTGTGTATCCCTGGGCCCTCCGGTCCCAGAGGTGGAATGATAGACATTCCTTCTCAGACATTTCCATCTCCAGTGTGCGGACAGGGAACATGCTTGGGGGAAGAGGGGCTCTTCTCCCTTCCATAGGTCCCGATGTTGTAAGTGCCTCTGTATACAGGAAGGGATAAACCAGGAGCCCTCAGTAGCTAGGTTGACAAACAGATGCCTCAACAGAAGGAACCAACATTAAAAAAGCATTCACATTATGTAGAACTTTAAAATGAAAAGTTTGGGCTCTGACCTGGGGCAACGGAACTCAGGCTAACAGAGGAACCAGGCATGGGAAAAACACTTAAAAACATGTCAGACAGAGACACCAGATAAGAATGGAACATAAAGCAAAAGAAAAAGAGAAAAAAGAATAGAAAGAAAAGCAATAAGAATACAAATAAGAAAATAATAAGAAAAATAACAACAGATATGCTTTTTGTTGTGTTGTCAGGTGCCAAGCACTACTGCCAAATAAGCCTTATACATCTATCATCTCATTTAATCCCTATACTGAGGTGTATGCATGCATGTAATTAGCAGTCCTAGGACCGGCCCCATTTCACCAACAAGGAAATCAAGAAATTATGCCATTTGCCCAAGGTCACACAGCAAGTAAAGGCCAGGACTGCGGTTTTAAATTCGGGCCCTATAGCTGGGGCTCAACCAACAAACAACAGCCAATTTTGTTCCCATGTCCCAGTCGGGAATACTCAGGCTTAGGAGCCATAAGTAACGGCCTATAGCTAGTAAGAAACTGAGGTGGGATTTGAACCACAGACCGGAACAAACTGGATGCTTCTAATCCAGACTGTCCTGCAGATACATGGAGTTCAACCCAGCCTGAACCGTCCTTGCCTCTTACCTCTCTGCCTGGGAAAAGCCAAGGAAATGACAAGCATCAACCCTTTCAAGCCCAGGGAAGGGCCACAGAGGCCTGGAAGATGATGTCCAAGAATGTCATTCATTCCATCTGTCCCTCAGGCTTCTTCAATAAATATTTTGTTGAGCAGAATAATGCCCATCACCCACCACAAAGGTACCTACATCCTAATTCCAGAGGCTGAAAGGCAAAAAGATTTTGCAGATGTGATTAAATGAAGGATCCTGAGGTGAGGAGATGATGCTGGATTGCCCAGGCGGGCCCCATGTCATCCTAGGGGTCCTTGTAAGTGCAAAGAGGGAGGCTGAGGGTCAGAGTTAGAGAAGGAGGTGTGACTGGCTTTGAGGATGGAAAGGGACCAACGGCCAAGGAATGCGACAGCCTCCAGAAGCTGGAAAAGGCAAGAGACAGGATTTTCCCTGCAGCCTCCAGGAGGAGCCGGCCCTGCTGACACCTTGACTTCAGCCCCATGAGACTGAGTTTGGATTCCTGGCCTCCAGAACTCCAAAAGAACACATCTGTGTTGTTGTAAACTGCTGAGTTTATGGTAATTTGCTACAGCAGCCCTAGGAAACTCACACCGCACCTCTCTTGTGTCAGGTACGGTTTTAGAACTGGGCACTTGGTGACCAGGATAATCAAGTTTTCTGAGCCTAGAGTCTAGAGAGGACGTCAGAAAGCAAGTGAGCAAACAAATAAAAGCCTACGGTAATTTCACACCGTGATACATTCCATGGGGGAAATAAGAAAGTACAGGCTTTTGGGTTAAGGCACCAGGAACCTAGAAGTACATTAGAAAAGAGGCGGGATGCTGTGTGAGGGTCGGGGAATTGGGGTTGCGGGGGAGTCGTGGGGGCCGGGGT